CTCGCAGGGGAGAGGCGTTCCGGAGCGGATGCGGGAGCGGAGGCTGCGCTCGGTTGGAGCACAGCGCGTTGGTTTCGCGGCCGCGCCGGAGGTTGGTACCGCAGCACGGAGCTCCCCGAGGTGGGATGAGCAGGGCTTGGCAGCGACAACACGGCTCAGCGGCCGCCGGAGCGTCCTCACCCTGGTCCTTTGTAGTATTATTTCCCCCACGCAGCGACACCTCCGGGGATGGAGAGGAGGAGGAGGAGGAGGAGGCTGTGGAGAGACTGGTCCCACCTCCAGCAGAAGGATTTGGAGGGGTTCCTCCAGGGAGTGTGGGATCCAGCACCTTCCCAGCTGGAGGAGCTGAGCTGGGATTGCTTTCAGAGAAGCTCCTGGGGCTCAGTAGCAGGATTTGCCTCTGGAGCTGCCCACGGAGGGCAGAAGATGGGACAGTCACGTCCTGCTTTGAGGGGCTCCTCGCTGGAGGCTGTGTGTGCATCCTCCTGCACAGAGGAGGATGAGGAGGTCACCTGCTCCCGTGGGCATGGCCAGGACTGTTGTCTCCCCCTCTGTGATGGGACTGGCATGGCTGTGGCAGGGAGGACACCGCCAAACCTGAGCTCTCCTGCATCCCCCAGTGCCACCATCGCTTTGGGCGCCGCAGCTTCCGCGCAGCCTCTGCTCCCCTCCCTCTGCCGCAGCCTCCTCGGAGCCATCCCAGCCCTTCCCAGCTCCTCCGCGGCTCCAGGACCACCACAAGCTCCCACCGGGATCAGACCAGTCCCTCGTGCACTGGGGGAAGAGCAATACTCCATCTCGTGGCCGCTGTGTCTGTCCTTCCTGATGTCTCCTGTATGGATCCGTGGGGGTCTCAGAGCACCACGGGAGTGAAGAAGCAAACTGGGACTATCTGATCACAGCAGACCATCACTAACTTTGTTCTGTACATAATTCCATCATCTCCCACCTCTGTGCTTTGCATCCTGCTGCCAGGAGCCAGGCAGGACCCAGGAGGTACCTGAGCAAGTGTGGAGCAGGGATTTGGGTGCCACCACGGTGTCCAGGGGCTCCTGGTCACCCAGGAGGATGCTGTGCTCGGGGGGTCAGCCCCAGGCTCCCCCCACCCTGCTCCCTGCTTTGTTTCCCCCCTTGTTCCCCCCATCTAAACCAAAGAAACAACCAGGCCCACGGACAGCTCCCCACATCCCTCCCAGCCCTGTGCCCTGAGCGGGGCTGGCACTGCACCAAGGCCCTCCAGGTTGGTTCAGGGGGTCCTGGCTGGGCAGGGCTGCTCCCACCAGAGCTGGCACCCCCCTGCAGTCACCTTCCCCGAGGCTGAACCCACCTTTGTCCCCAGACTGAGTGATGATGAAGAAGTGTCCATCAGAGTGTGATGGGCACTCTGTGACACATCCCCAGGCAGTGCCCTGTCCCCTCTGCCAGTGCCTGCCCTGCCCACTGCTGTCTCATAATGAGAATTTTAACCCCCCTTGGGTTCAGCTCATCTCCACAAGCCTCTCCTTGCCCCCTCCCACTCCATCCTGCCCACAGGAGACCTCCCAGGGTCTGCAGAGGGGACCCAGAAACACCATCACCCCTAAAAACACAGCTCTGCCCCTGCTGTGCCCCCTCCCCACACAGCTGTGGCTCACAGCTCTCCCCCCCCTCTGCTCCCCACGGGCTCTGTGCTGCTTGTACCCACATTGCTTGTGCTAAGGCCAAGGCAAACGCACACCAGGACCTGCTGCCACTCGTGTTAGTGCCATTCCACAGTAAATCCGTGGGATATTCCAGCCGTGTCTGACTCCCTGGATGGGGGAAAGGTGGGATGTCCTTGTCCCCATGCACTGGCTGTGTCCCAGCAGCCTGGTGGAACTGGATACAACCCTACAAATCACTCACAGCTTGGAACTCTTAGGCAAAACCTGCAGTGATTTATTGATCACTCCTCAGTAGAAAAATAGAAACATCTTCACAGTGGTCACGACATAAAATTCACACCCAGAGCTCAGCCACGTTTCTAGGGGAGGGGGAACCCTGGGCACAGCACTTTCCAGGGGTGCTCAGTGCCCTCCTGGGATGTCCCTGGGCCGGAGCTGCCTCTCACCCTCGGCCAGGAAGATGCTCATGGCTCTGTGCAGCATGTGCACCCCGAGGCGCCGGCGCCGCTCGCTCGCCCATCTCGCTGCCACCCCATAGCAATGCCCCTTCCTCTGGTTGGTGAGGCTCTGCAGGCCTGTGAGGAGGGGGTCAGCACCCTCAGGTCCGTGGGGATGGGGTCAGCACCCACAGACCTGCAGGGACAGGGTCAGCACCCACAGATCCATGGGGAGGGGGTCAGCACCCACAGGTCCTGCCCATCAGCTCCCCATCAGCTCCCACAGAACTGCACCCACAGGTCCTGCCCCATGCTCCCCATCAGCTCCCACAGAACTCTGGGGAGGGGGGCAGCACCCACAGATCCTGCCCATCAGCACCAGCAAATCCATGGGGATGGGGTTAACACCCACAGACCTGCAGGGACAGGGTCAGCACCCACAGATCCTGCCCATCAGCTCCCCATCAGCTCCCACAGAACTCTGGGGAGGGGGGCAGCACCCACAGGTCCTGCCCCACGCTCCCCA